TATTACCACCGCACTGGGTCTCCCTCAGTTAGCACCCTTCAACATCCAGATCCTCAATGGCTCAAGTTAGCCGCCTGGCGATTGAGCGGGAAGCTCTCCGAAAGGAGCACTACCCCTCTGAGGTAATTTCCACCATTTTGGCTTCTAGGAAACAGTCTACAGTTCGCATTATCAAGCCACCTGGGCGGTGTTTTGTTGATGGTGCGCTAAGAAGAACTTCATGCCGACAGCCGCGACGGTTCCACAGGTCCTCACCTTTTTGCAGCATGGTCTCAAAAAGAAATTATCCACCAATACGTTGCGTCGTCACATTGCGGCCTTGACAACTGTTTTACCAGGTGAGGGACCTATTCCTCTTTCGCATCATCCCAAGGTTCGCAGTTTTTTGAAAGGTGCTGCCAACTTGTTGCCGCCTGTTGTTCACCGCTACCCAACTTGGGACCTATCACTAGTCTTGCAGGCACTCACCTCGCCTCCTTTTGAGCCCTTGCGGACTGCCACACTTAGGCTTTTCACATTTAAAGTTGCCTTTTTAGTCGCTATTACTTCTGCACACAGAATTTCTGAACCAACGGCACTTTCGGTCCGCCAGGATTTGTGCATTTTTCACCCAGACTGTGTCATTCTTCACTTGGACCCTACATTTGTACCAAAAGTTAATTCCTGGTTCCATAGGGCACAGGAACTTATTCTACCGGACTTTTGCCCTAATCCTAGGAATTGCCTGAGAAGCGCTGGCATACGCTTGATGTGTGCAGGGCCTTGCGGCATTATGTCAAGCAGACGGCCCCCTTTCGACGGACGGAGGCCCTGTTTATGTCATTTCAGCCCACGTTGATGGGGAAGAAAGTTTCACCATCTACGGTTGATCGTTGGCTCAAGGCATGCATTGCCTTGGCATATGAACATCAGACTTGTCCAGTGCCATGGCACATCACGGCACACTCTACTCGCAGTGCAGCCACTTCGGCTGCTTGGGCTATGCAAGCATCCATTTTGGACATCTGCAGAGCCGCGACTTGGACTACTCCTTCACCGTTCATGAGGCACTACAAGATGGACCAATTCGCATCGGCGGAGGCGGCGTTTGGGAGGCGTGTCTTACAGAGAGTCCTGCCGGCCGAGGGGACCCTGGACCGATCTGCTTCCCTCCCATCATCAATTTAGCTTGGGTATATCCCACTCTTGGACATCCAAACAGTGCACAGGAGATTGAACGTTGGGTTTATCTTGAACGTTCCATCTATGTGCACTGCTGGAGTGTCCAAATCCCACCCTGGCTTGTGCTGGTCCGGGGTCCAGGAGTGGTCGGTTCTTCTATCAGACAGCGTCTTCTCTGGTTCCGGTTTCGTTGAAAAAACTGAGAGGCTCAGCCAGAAGGAGGAAGGCGTGGCCAAAGAAATTCCAACTCAGTGACATCATAACTGACTGATAAACACCCACACTTGGACACTCCAGCAGTGCACATAGATGGAACGTTCAAGGTAAGCCCAACATTCATTTTGTGCCATCTCGTGTCATTAAATTTATTTTATGTTTTATTAAATCTCTTTTTCCTTTTATTTTATTATTTTATATAGTGAGGAATCAGGAGATAAAGAATGAGATTGAAGAGATGAAGGGAGACATTTCTGGAGATATCCAAAAACTGGATGACAAAATGGGGATGATACAACAGGCAATATCCAAGAATGAACAGAAAATGCAATTGGTGGAAATAAAAGCAGAACAAACAGAAAAGAAACTAGAAACGTAGGAACAGAAACTTATTGCAGCAAATAGGGATCTGGAAGAGGCGATAGTCCATTTAGAAAAAGAAAAAGCTGCATTCTTCTTGAGATTTCAAAATATAATGGAAAACAAGGAAGAAGACTTACTAAAGATTATGACAGAACTATTAACGGACACCCTACAGAAAACCAAACAGGAGATCCAAGGTGACATCGATGAGATATATAGAATACACACAAATTATGCAAGATGGCATAAATTATCAATGGAGGTATACGTGCGGTTCTCCAGGAAAACAACAAGAGATTAAATTTACAAGAGGACAAGGGATGAACCAATGATTTATAAAGGAAGAGAAATTCAAACTCTAACAAGTTCCAAGAAGGGTCAGGGAGCAGAGAAGACACTATCAATTTTTAACTATGCAACTGATCAAGTACAATGTTATGTTTGGGTGGCTCATCCCAGAAGGAATGTTGATCTCGTGGTAGAACAAGAAATTCAAAATTGACACTGTGGATAAAGTGCAGGAATTCTATGAGCATTACTTTACCATGGATGAGGAACAAGAAAGTAGGCAAGAGATAGAGTGTAAGAGTCAAGAAGAACAGCAACTAGAAAGGAAAGAGGCAGATCAAGATAAAAGAAGACGGATAGAAACAGAATGATATGAACGAGAAGGTGCAAAAAGAAGAGTACAGAGAGAAACAAGAACAACTAGAAAACAGAGACCTATCGTGTTTCCCCGAAACTAGGACATGTCTGGATAATAACCCCAATTGGGCTTTTGAGCGCATGTGCTAAAATAAGCCCCCCCCCCAAAAATAAGCCCCTCCAAAATACTTAGACACATGTGCAACTTCTGATGTTCTAACCCATTTCTGATGTTTTTCTCCTCTGTGGTGGTGGCAGTGCGTTCAGCTTCCTGAATCTAGCTTGCTGATCTCAGCTGGCGAGGGGGAGTGGTGGGGCGGCGGCGAAGCGAGATGCATGGAGCAGGACAGAGCTCTCCTTGCCATCTCTTCTTCCTTCTCTTATGGCCGGCCCCGTGCAGGCCAAGCTCAGCCGTGGGTGGGGAGCAGTGGCCGGGCTGGCTGAGCTGCATCTGTTGGGGCTGCCCTCTGCGTGGCTGCCTGGCATCTCACTTCCGGGTGCCTGGGAAGAGTAAGCGAGACCTGCAGGAGGAAGGGAAGATGGGCAAGGGTGCCGTGAAGCTCCCCTCCCCAGGAAGAGTCCGGCCCAGTCATTGTCTGGTCCAGTGACTCCCGATGCAGAGTGGCTTCCTGGGCATGCTGGGGGCGAGCCGATGTGCTTGGGTGGAGGGAACGCAGGGCGATTGGAGGGGAGAGGAGCGGGGCGGAAGGGGAGGTCTCCAGCGACTATCACCATAGAGCGGGAAGTGCACTCCCAGAGCGGCCACTGCCCTGGCTGGGGTTTGGAAGCCACAGAGGCGGAATTTGAGGGAGAGAAAGAAAGACTTTTGCTGCTTCTGCTGCTGGCTGCATGCAAGGAAAGCAGCAGAAGTTGTTCTTTCTCTCCCCCCAAACTCCGCCTCTGCGGCTTCCAAACTCTGGCTGGAAGTGGAAAAGAGGCCATTCATGCCAGCCGCCTGCTGCCAAGTCTTCTGCCAGTTGGCCTAGAACATTGCACCCTTCTCCATTTTGCGGGCAGCCAGGGCAGAGAGGCAGCAATGGGCAAAGGGAGCCGCAGCCCTGCATGGAGAGTCCGTCCACATTGACGTGGTGAGGCCTGGGAGGCACGCAAGTGAGGGGGGACAGGCACTCGTGCGGCTTGGCACCTTCCAGCTGCTTGCATTCCACACACCCCTGCAGGAGGGAAGGGGCTTGATGGCGGCGCGCAGGGGGAGCCTCTCTCTGCCAGACTCCCAGGTGTGAGTACGTAGGCTGCCCATGGCGAAAATAATAAGACCCCCTGAAAATAAGGCCAAGCCCTTATTTCGGGGTTCAAAAAAATATAAGGTCTTATTTTGGGGGAAACACGGTATATACAAACAATAAGATGGAGGAGGAAATTAAGATGATTTCAATCAATATTAATGGTCTGAACTCACCAGAAAAAGAAAACAAACATTTATAAGATTACAAAAATAGAATATGGATATAGTCTGTTTACAAGAAGTTCATATCAAGAAGCAATATGGCAACATATTAGAATATCGCAAAATTGGGAAACTCCACATATCTTTAGCACACCAAAAGAAGAGAGGGATAGCCTTATATATTAAAGAGTGGCTAAAACCTAAACAAATTTACGCAGATGAGGAAGAGAGAATAAGAATAGTAAAAAACCAAAAACGAATACCGCTTGCTACAATTTGTGCACCAAACAATAACCAGAAGGAATTCTACCGTAAATTACATAATATAATAACAGAGACAGAATATGAAAACGTGTCTAGCAGGTGACTTTAACGCAGTAGTAGATATCAAGAAAGACTACAAAAGAAAAAAAACAAGAAAAAAAGAATTTTACCAAATACATTTTTTAAGATGACACAAGAATTAAATCTACAAGATATATGGAGAGAACTAAATTTAAAGAAAAACCAATATACCTTTTACTCAAGCCCACATAACTCATGGTCAAGAATAGATATGGTATGGATGAACCTAGACATGAGAAGAAACATAGAGGAAGTAGACATTAAAAAACCACAGAATGAAAATGGCTCAATTCAAAAGTTATGGCGAGCACTTCATTATCATTGCTATAACAACTCCTTTTCATGTGTGAAAAAGGTAAAATATTCACGGTGATGGGTAAATTTTAAAAAAGTAATGAAGTGAACACACATTATGCTAAAGACTGCCTCTTAATGATATTTGGAATATCTTTAGACAGATATGTTGAAATACAAAAGATATTTTTTTTAGGCACTAGCCTTGTACAGGATCAATCCTATCATGAGACAAGAGATAGCTGCCATACACAACCAATTTTGTATGTCATGAAATACCAGCAGATTGTCATTTAAAGTGTTCTTTTACCTTTACAATTGTGGAAAGAGACGGGCACATATATATTTGAGGTTTTCAGCATCAAATCAACTTTCCACTGTTCTGTGCACTTGAATTGGGGAAGAGGGCTGCCATTTGTTGCTTTATTTTGGGTTCAAAATCTTTCTTGATTATTATTGAAAAGGGAGGAATCTCTTCTAGATTGCATAACATTGATGCATTATTATGATTATTATTTAACATTGAAGCAGGGTGCTTTATTTCTCTCTCCCCCCCTTCATTTCTCTTCAGTGCTCAAATCCGACATGCTTGGGATAGCACCAAATCAGCTTCTAAGAATTTGGCAGAAATGGGCCTGGCTGTTGATCCAAACAAGGCAATTCCCATTCCAAAGGTTAGTGCTGTATGAATTCCAAGAACAGTTAATCACTTCAAAGTTGAAGGAAAACACTAAATCAATGTTTATCATTTAGGAGCTTGTATTACTTATTTGGATGTTGTTCCAGGAAGACAATAATTGGAAAATGAAAATAGTATAACTGATTAGAAAAGTACATTGTGAAAATGTTTGTAAATTTTTCCAGTAAATCTCAGATGGTATTTGGTTAAATACAAAGTATGCATGAGAAATAACATTGTAACTAAACTGTCATTAACCCAGTTTTTGGTTTAGAGATAAATTCTTTTGTCCGACTATCTTACTTTTTAGAAATTGAATTTGAAATAGTTGAAGAGCTATTTCCAATTCTTGGCATTTCATTTAGGCAAGTGACAATCACCATCTTGTATTCACTTAATGCCCCCTGGTGCTGACATCCATAGCTATGCTGAGCAATAAATGGTAGAGTGCTACTACAGAGTTATAAAATAGCTGTCACCATTTGTATTGTATAATAATTTGAAACTGTGTGATGTAACACTGCATCCAAGTTTACCATTATAAAATGATAATGATGTGGTAAAAAGAAAATACAAAATAATTCCTAGCAGCCTTTTTGTATAATGTGAATTGCCATGTCTTTTAAATTACAGGATACAAAAATGGAACTTGATGGACAAGAGGCAGGGACAACTGTTAGGAAGCCATATGTAATAAATGGTGGGTATTACTTCATATTGGCATAGTTTGATAGACATGTCATTCTTCATAAGAAAATTCTTCATTAGAAGTCTTGCTATTCCAATTAAGTGCAGTTTTCTTTTCTTCATTATTTATTACCAAATGTAGCAGATATTCAATTTTTTTGTGGTTTTAAATACAAACTATTTTACAATCGGTTGGATAATCATTAAAAATTAGGGTGAGAGAACAAATACATTGTGTCTGCTGATATGAAAATAATGCATCTTTTCCAAACAAGCCTGGACATGTCTCCTATTGGAGGGAAAGGATATGATTTCCATGATGTAATGGTTGGGTAGAGCTATTCTATTTCCACAAAAGGAGGTTTCACAGTGTGCACACATTTCTTAATACCTTCTTGCTTTCTTTTCTTTATGCCCAGAATTAGAATATGAAGCCAGCTTCCCAGAGGAAAAATCTGAGACCCTCTCCAGAGATCTTATTGACTACGTCAAACACATGATTCAGAATCATGGTGAAAATTATAAGGTAAGAGATAATTTTGTTGTTATTTCCAACTGAAGTTATTTTGTTTAGATAAACTGCAATACATCATTAGAAAATGATATGAAAATCAGATTAGAGAATCCCAATTGCAATATTTGAAGTGAGGAGGACTGGCTATTACTACTACATCATGCCAATCCGTTTGCCTCCTGCACTGGCTTCCACTTATTCCAAGGCCAATTTTAATAGAATTTTAACCTGTAAATCAGGTGAAATCCAGCAGGTTCTGACATGTTCCAGAGAACCGGTAGCGGAAATTTTGACCAGTTCAGAAAACTGGCAAATACCACCTCTGACTGGCCCTGGAGTGGGGTGGGAATGGAGATTTTGCAATATCCTTCCCTTGGAGTGAGGCAGGAATGGAGATTTTGTAGTATCCTTCCCCTGCCATGCCCAACAAACCACACCATGCCTACCAAGCCACGCCCAAAGAACCAGTAGTAAAAAAAATTGGATTTCACCACTGCTGTAAATGCCTTTGAAACAGCTTGGCTGGGTGAGATCTCCTCTCACAGGGAAGTAAGTATTTAAAACAGAAGATCTTCGCAGTACTAACATTTTCTCCAGAGAGACTCTTATAGATTGCATGGTTGGAACTTTATTTTCCCCACACATTTTTAAAAATTGTATTCAGATCTTGGCATGGGTTTTAATATGACTTTCATGATGGTTAAGTCTTGTATTCGTTTATAGAATTATTGAAACGTTATGCATTATATAGGCAGTTTTAGGAAAGGATTTGTTTCTTCTAGTTTCCCATATTGCTTTGTACAGTGTTTCTTGCTTGACAACATATATGATTGTTTTGAAATGGACATTTGAACTGAAGTTAAGCAATTAGGGCCCTTCAGATGATTTATACTGGAGTGCTTACACTCCTTTGCTGCAGGCAGAATTCATAATATCTGTAGAGCAACTGGTTAAATTGCATCTAGCATCTGAATCTACCTTTTATTTTATTGGAGTTCTGTGGTTGTATTTGCTTTATATATAGGCTGTCCTTGAGACTTGGATGTTTAATGTACTGCTTACTTTCTGGGTGTGGTTTCTAAAACTATGTGTTAATATAAAACCGCTTCTCTGTTAATTTATGCTTGTAATTTACTGCCTAGGCTATGGCTCGTGATGAGAAGAACTATTACCAGGATACACCAAAACAAATAAAGAGGAAGATCAATGTGTATAAACGCTTCTATCCCGAGGAGTACCAAATATTCATTGCATCTTTACGGCCAGAAAAAATGGAGCAATAATTATGAGGAGGAAAAGATGCTGAAACATTATTTCATTTGCATGGATTTAAGTGACTGAGATTGAAAAACTGATACTTGAATTACATAAAATATTGCCTTCTAAAGAGAAATAAGAAAATACAGGTGGAACTTTGATTCTCCAAAATTCTGCAGAAATTTTAAGTCAGCTTTCAGGTTCATTTATTTCACTGAAGGTTCTTCAAGGCAAAATAGCTCTTAGTGACAAAAATATTTTTGCCTTGAAGAGACCTTGGTTGACATATGACTTCTCTAAACCTAGTGTCAATAATAGACCATATTGAAAAAATATTTTAGTTACAAGAGCAGAGGTTAATTGTACACCGACTTGTCCACTTCTTGTGCATTTTGGAAAGACAGCACAATAGTAGTAGCCTCAAATAGTAGTTTCCTTTCTCAGAAATAAGATGTGGACATCAAGATTAAAACCTCAAAACTAGTGCATTTGGGCCAGAAAGAGCTATCTCTACTCTCCAATAAGAGACTATCCCAGAGAGATGCTAACTCACTCAATGAGCATTAGTCCATATTTATGAGAGGGAAGAAGCCACCACTCTGCTGATGGCAATGTTGGAATGAGGGTTCCTAATGTGAGGTACATTATGGATTGTCTTGTCAAGCCATCTTTCCTTACCTATTTTAAAAGTAGAAGCCGCATTGGTTCTTTTTCTCTGAAGACTGAAACTGCAGTTGTACATTGTCATGCAGCTACTACAGGAATTTGCAATTGATGAAGTCTGAATTCTGTAGAGGAACTGGTGTAGCTCTACAAGTGTTGAAGCACCTGGAAAACACGGGACTAAAAAGCTGTCTAATCCCACGTAGAGTCTGATGAAAATGACCATTAGCAATAATTGTCCTGATTTGTACGCAGGATTCCTCAAGTGGTGAAGAGCAGAGTCACATCTTACATCACAAGATTTATTGATAAAAAGTACAAAGCATTTGTTAGCAATTGCCTGTGGCATATACGGCTAAAATGTATTATCCAGGTTTCCTATATTCTCAATAGGATAAGGGGGGAGGGGTTGGTTAAAACATAAATTGTGCAAAAGCAGCTTAGTCCAAACAAAAATCCTGATCTGCCAAGAGAAGAGGGAGCAATGGAGAGCAATGTTATATGCATCATTTTCCTATTTAAGAAACAGCATCATTCCTACTTTTAACATCATAAGAGCTGTAGAGAGAAATTGCCTAAAGATGGGATTGGCTTCCTGCACATGTAGAATTATGCTTTAATACAGAGATGAGACAAATGATTGCTTTTTTTCTTCATTAGAAATTTAGGAGAATGGTATTGGTAGCTCCTATGATGTGGCTTACCTGTATGTTGTAACAGCCATTACTAGCTCACAATAGCTTTTGCATAGATAACATTTTGTTTCTATAATGGAGCAGAAATAAAAACTTTTAACAACCTCTGATAGGTTGGGAACAAATAGGGATATTCAAATACATGCTGAAGAACTTTGCCTTATCAGGGACACCTGCAGGTGTTGGCCTGCATCTCAAACTTCCCAGCCAACCCGGGAATTTGACAGTTGAGCTCACTTAGTTTGGAGGATGTCCGTTTCGTGCATCTCTTTGTGGTCTAATCCAGACTTTCCAATTCTCTTGACCAATATCAAATATCTAGTCTTTTAGAGGTTACCTCAGAATCAAGTAATAAATAAGAAGATAGCAGAGTCTTAGTGACTGAAGTAGCTTTGGCATCAGTTCAAGGCACAACTGTTCCAACATGCATAGCTAGAAATAAAAGATATTCCATTAAGGATTCCACAAATCTAGATAAGCCATCAGTTTCAGTACTTACCACTTTCCGTTAACTGCAATCAGGATGAATTTTGCCCTTTATGGGCCAAGACTAACCCCCAGCTTTTGAAATAACGAAGTCATTTCATAGGCAAAGAGCTTATGAAATGACTTTCTTAGCTTCCTCTATATAAAGTCATTGCATTACTTCTTCCTGCTTATTGTAAAGTCAACTATAGTAGATCCAGTAAAGAAGAATGCAAAGTGCAAATATTGGTATTACAGTTCTTTAGATTTGTGAAAAGAGCAGCAGTTGTTTTCAATAGTCTCTGAGATTGATGGATGTCCCCCTCAAGCAATGCACTTTGCCTTTTCTTCCCCCTTATCCAGAGCAGTAGGAGTTATCTTCAAGGCTATATTGGCAGGTGGCATTCCTCCTCCAAAAGCATTTGAGTGAATGCCGAGGTGGACTTTCCTGACCATGCAGAAAAAGTTATTGCTGAGAGGCGCAATCACAGGGAGTCCATCTTGTTTGAATGGGCAAGGATTTTGACCAGCAGGTGCTTCAAGTGAAGAACACTGTTTGCAGTGGCCAGACCAGCAGAAGTTGCACTTGTGGGCAAGAGAAAGAATTTCCTCTGACTATCCAGGTTGTGTAAGGCCAACTCCTCTTGCAATTCTGCCACACTCAGGGCATCATTCTTGTCCTAAAATAGATATACAAACAATCATTTTAAAAAACCTTAGGCCTTTTCTTATAAGAGCTATGCCACAATTTTGTATTTTTCTTCATTTGGGTGATGATTAAGCTGAATATATGCTAGTGTTTCTTTTTTCACTTCTTGAAATTAGTAAGAAATCGTTATTGGTGATTACTGTTACATTTTGGTTGCGTTCTTGCAAACCTTAGAGATTTTTGAAGTACAGAAAAGTAATCTAGGAATCCAGTCAAAGGAATCTTGGAGTCACGTGCAGTTCTATAATTGTAAGTTGCTCTTCCATCTATATCAGGGGTATCAAATTGGCGGTTCATGGGCCGGATGCGTCATGCACAGATCATGCCCATCCCAGCTCCACGAAGGGGAAAAAACAGTGAAACGTCACGTGACTTCAATATGATGCAGCGAATTTGACACCCATGATCTATAACAAGCTAAAATTTAAGAATGTCACATGTGAAAGATAGCAAGGGACTCACCTGTTTGTTAGCTAAGACTATCAAAGGCAGCTGAGGGTCCTCAGCTAGCAGGCAGTGGAGCTCCTGCCGAGCAATGTGAAGGCGTGGGCCATCTGCAGAGTCTACAACGAACACCAAAATGTGGGCTTTGCTCAGATACTGGTTCCAATAGAAGCGTAGATTTTGGCTCCCACCAACTAGTATAACAAAGAGCAAAAATACAAGTTGACTGAATAGCATTCTTTCTCATTCTGATGTCCTCCAGTGTTTAATTGCAGTGCCCACATCTGACAAACAAATCATGAGAAAATATTACTTTACATCATATCATGAGCATCTTTCCCAAGCCTGAAATGCAGGTGTGGATTTAAATGAGGGAGAATTTTCTCTATCTATATATATAAAAGCAAAAACCACTCATGCTATAATCATGAAATCTCCAGAACTGTAAAGCCTACAAACTTGAAATTTGTCACATATGTTCCTCTTGACTTCTAGGTGCACACTAAGAAAGGATTTTTTGAAATGACCATCAGAGCATTAGTATTTCCTATATTATTATTAACGCTCTGATGCTAAGGAGTTCTACTTCCCCTCCCCACCTGAAATCTGTTCCATGCTCTGATGCTAAGGAGTTCTACTCCCCCTCCCCACTTCAAAAGAAATCTGTTCCAAATGCAAAACACAAGCAGAGAAGAGGAGTTTCAGTTTTACTTTCACAGCAGCAAGCAGGGGATAAGATAGGGGAGGCTTCTGTGAGGCAAGGCTGATGGAGAGGAGTGGGATAAGATAGGAGACATTTCTGTGGGGCAAGGCTGAGGGAGAGAAGGGGAGAGTAGAGGCCAATCGTAACTATTCATTAATATTCAAGCTGCAAGTGTCAATTTATCATGCCCCATCACATAGTTTCATAGCGAAGCATGGGTATCCAGCTAGTTATGTATAAATACCTATCATAGCCTCCCATGCATTGTTCAGGCCAAAAAAATACAAAAATGGACAAGCCATAGGAGATTCCCAGCACAGAAAACATAAATTCAATTCAGAAGGGGGGTTTCAAGATAGTTTTCCCTTAGTTCGATATGATATTAGATAGAAAACCTATGTTAACATAGGTCAGTTTTTTAAAAAGTTGGCTATTTGTTTGGATATTATTAACCTCAGGCTTTTTGAGACTTAGTTTATGGTGTAAACAAACTGACTTACATAGTTACAAGTTAAATATGGTTTCTGTGAACAAAGCCAGTGATTGCTATCATAGAGGGGAAGTGTTCTGACGTAGGCTTCCTGATATAGTAAAAGCACACAATGAGGCCCAAAAACCCTCTTTTTATTTCAATGGCTGTGAATTCTGCTCATTCAGAGCCTGTTCATCCTCAACCTGTTCATTCACAGATGAGTCCCAAATAGTTGTAAAGAGTCCGACAGAAGTCTGTCACAGTTCTTCTGGATAAGTCTGATAAACACCCACCTTTGCCTTCCTTGACACACTGCCAAGACCTAATTAGCAATTAACTTTGCAAGGCCACACGGAACACAGAGTCAACCTGGAGTTGAAACCGGCCAGCAAGAACAGGTCCCCTGTTCCTCTGCCTCACTGATGTCCGACTCTGGAGGCTCTGGAGTCTGCACATAACTCCCAGATGGTCCTGGCCCCATCTCTGCCTCCGATGCAGAGCCTTGTCCAAGCCTTCCCCAGATTCCAGGATTGGCCCATGTTCCTTCCCAGCGTCCTCGCTGTTCAACTCTGCTGCCAGCTCCGCAGGCCGCTGGTGGACCACAACAGTAAGAAGTTCCAGATCCATCTTTCCTGCACAAGTGCCAGATTACTATCCCTTACCTTGCCACACATGCAGTATGTTGCAGATTGTGCCCTATTTCCAAACAGGGTTTACCTTCTAGAAGATCCATCTGGAGCCCACTGGCCTGCAGCTGCACTGAGTTAAAGCCTTGAGTAGGTGCTATGTGCTTCTTGGCTTCTGGACTACATACATGGTGAAGAATGGTGCTTTTTCCAGCCCCGTCCAAACCGAGAATCAAAACTTGGTATTCACAGTAATGTGGCTGCTAGGAGAAAAAGAGTTCAGGTTAGTCCAGGCAGTAATTGATTAAAATAATGGAAAACCACCTAACTCTGGCTTATCCCTGAAAAGATGGTTGTGCTAAAATATTCAAATGAGACAATAAGCAAGCAGGAAAAATAAATTTAAGTTGTGGGTAGTATTTAGAATAGTCCTGCTTGTCAAGAGCATAGTTGATCTATAAATTTAGCAAATTAATCACTCATTCTTGACAGCTTTAGGGAAAAATAATGACAACCTAGTCGAATGTGGAGGCTGATGGATTATTAATTTAGGATACCAATCCTGAAAGAAAGGATCATATATCACACATACTGTATGAGTAATACCTAAAAATAATTGCTCCTATTGAGGGCCTTGTACAGGTACCCTGTTTTCCCCAAAATAAGACATCCCCTGATAATAAGCCCAATTGGGCTTTTGCGCGCATGGCAATAAGGCCAAGCGCTTATTTCAGAGTTCAAAAAAATATAAGACAGGGTCTTATTTTTGGGGAAACACAGTAATTGGGGGCCTTGTACAGGTTATCATTCTGATATCTAGGTTGCATGGGTGTGTTTGTTTTTATTATTTTCTGGATTTTGTAAGCTGCCCAGAATCTGAATGGGTTGTTATATTTAAAAAAAATTGAATTAAACCACTGATACAGGAGATGTGTTGGCTATTGGTTTCTCCCCAAGTGCAATTCAAGGATTGGTCATCAACCATAAAGTCCTAAAGGGCTCAGTGCCTTTTATGAATGGAGAGATGAGACTGGATCTCTCCATTCATTCATTCTGCCTGCCTAATCCAAAGGTCCCCTTCCATCAAAAAATAGGATAGCAGAGAACATACAGAGACATTCTCAGTCATGTCTACCCTTCTATGGAATATGACTCCTTCTTCACCAGAAGTGTAGGAAGTTGTCTTCTGTCTCACAGAATCCAGAGATCGGAGGCTTTTGGTGACTTAATGATTAAGTGGAGATAGCATAAAAGATTAAAATGTGAGATTAAAGTGTTTGATTAACTGTATTTTCTGTACTCTAAAACTCAATGGAGTAAAGCAGTTTATAAATCTTACAGATAATAAATGGATAACTTTGTTAAACAAAACACGGAAACAGCCAACACAACCTTTCCTACATAGAATGCTTTTCCTGGTGGAAGAATTCATTAAAAATTTCCTAAAATTATTACAAACTTATGGGTCCTCTACCTAACCCTGTAAGGGTAAGTATTACTGGTAGCACCTTGAATTATGCCAGTGAAAACAAACAGGAAGTCAAGACTGGATTATGAGTAAAACAAAACTCAAGTAAAACATGAGTAAAATAAAAATCAACAAGCAATTTACCTTCCATGTTTTTTATAAGTGAAATGCATTTCAAGAGCAGTTCTATGTATACCAAACTAGAAATGAGTGAGACATGGATCACTGTAGTCAGCTCTAGCCATTAGAATGAATTGGAATTTATTCAGGAAATAAGTTTGTATCAACATATGCTGCCTGGATAAAAGCTCAGGAACTTAATTTAGTCAGGGAAAAGGCATAGCTCTCACTAGCACTGCCTCCTAAGGAATCTTTTATGACAGAGAAACAGTGGCGTTATGAGGATTTTAATTATCTACACATAAACAGAATGAAGAAGTCAGCTAAGGAAGTCTGCCTCTTTTCATCTTTACCCAAGGCCCTTGTTTTTGGCTCTCTAAATCTGCTCACTTTGCAAAAACTTTGTTACAAAAAGTTATTTTTCTTCTTGTATTGCTTTTATAAGCTGACACCACCAAAATGGTTTGAGGTTGGCGACTATACAAATTGAATAAATAAAAAACGTAAGCAGAACCCAATGGAACATATCAAAAGCTTGTTTTGTCCAGGAGTTGGATCCCATAGAGGCCAAGCATGTGTCTGTGAGAAACCCACAAAAGAGGACAATATAGAGTAGTACCATCCTCCTGTTCATCCATCCCTCCATCCACCAGGAAACAATATTGAGAGTGGTTACATGAGTTAATTGATGTTTAGCCTTCATTTATTTGAATCTAATCCTTGTTTTAAGTCCCTCCAACCCAGTGGTGATTCTTACATTTTTCTGGTAACCTAGTCCAGAACCCACATGAGTGTTGCGGTGGCCTAGAGGCGGAGCTCTTGCCTCACGATCAGGAGGCTGTGAGTTCGGTCCTTGGTAGAGGCAGATATTTCTCTCTCTGGGCAGAATGAGAATATGTCTGCTGAACAAAACTCTGCATTGGTGACAGGAAGGGCATCCAGCCAGTAAACACTCAGCTCCATTCAGTTGCCTGGACTTCACACCACAAGGGTTTATGTGGTCGTTAAAAGAAGAACATGATGATGATGATAGACCAGAACCCACATAATGAATTGTGTGTATGTCTAATTTTCTCAACACTCAACATTTAAGGGTGATCCTGGAATGCAGCATTAGAAGTACAAAATCAGCAGCTGCCCAAAAGGGAGATTAGTCCGCAAGAGCTTAACATCTAAGCAATTAATCACAATTCTTTTGCCTTTCCTTCTATGTATTTCTATGGTGCCACATGGAATTTAAGACTGAAGCTTGCAATCCTATAGGCAGTTATTGGGCTCAAAGTAACTTCTTTGAAGTCTTATTTCTCTTATATGCACGCCCATGTAGTTCTACCATAAGCCTTCTCAGAAACTTAGTGAAAAAGTTTTTCTAAAAGAAGTACTGTAGATAAAAAATAATTTTGGATCCAACCTTTCCTACTTCTTTGTCATTTTACAAGATTCCCCCAAAAGTGGTGCAGGGCTTTCTTTTCTAGAAGTCACTTTAATTCCTCTCAGCACGTTTATTTCTTATGGTGTTTATAATTCTATTACCTTTTATGATGTTTTCCACTTCTTCAACTGGGACAACTTATCTGTTATTTCCTGATCCTTATTATTGGCCTCCTTTCAATAAATACTATACTGGCAGCTTTCTAGCCGGATAAGATATCTTAAGAACAAATTATGCAACTTTCTCAGATTAGCAGCTGAATTTCTAGGGCTAGGCCATCATTAGTGAATCAGTAATTTGTCCACTACTTCTAGAAATTGATCCGCTGGTGTCTTACGCCCCAATCCACTCTCTCACTCCGATTTGGTGCCTTTAATCAAAAATACAGGGAGAAGTCCCTACAGTTTTCTCAGAAACATTTCACTGACTGTGTCTAAGAAGGAATGTATCAAACTCAAAAGACACACAATCTTGTTTCTAAAGCAAGAGCAGAACACATGGTATCCCAGTTTCTAGCCTGATGCCTTTTACCCCTAGACTAGCACGCTGACTTCTCAAGGTCTTCCTTTGGTCCCATAAACAGATATGGAACTGTATGCCCAAACCACCAAGTTCTAAACTAATGTGAACATAATAGCGATCTTGTTTCCTGAAAACCGGCTAAATCAGTGTTTCTCAACCTTGGTAGCTTGAAGATGGGTGGACTTCAACTCCCAGAATCCCCCAGCCAGCGCTGCTGGCTGGGGGATTCTGGGAGTTGAAGTCCACCCATCTTCAAGCTACCAAGGTTGAGAAACACGGGGCTAAGTGCTTTCCTAAATTCGCAGCGTTCTCTCCCACCCCATCTCCAAGACTGAGCCGGATGCAGCGACCAGTTCTCTCGGAAAAAAAGTAACATTTGTTCCAGGCTGCGGAAGAGGGAGAGAGGCTTCCCTTACCTCCGCTTCCTTTCGCGCGTTGCAAGCTCGTAGCTCCGCTTCCAGCTGCCGCTCCCAGCGACTTCTCCAGCCGACGCAGCTGTCATCGGCGTCTCGGAAGTAGCCTTTCCATGCAATGAAAAGGAGAGAACCGAGGGCTGCTACCGCTGCGCCCAGCGCCAGGCTCAGGTGTCGGAAAGCGGCAACAGCAGCAGCCATGGGCTTCCAGCGATCTCCTCTCGGCCAGAAGCTCCTCCGCTTTGCTGCTCGGTTTAGCCGGTCCTCTCCTTTATTCGGCCACGCGTCCTCCTCCTCCAGCGCAACTGAGCTCAGCGGCTCGCCTCCTGGGAAGTCTCCGACAGGAGATTCACTTGACCGACCGCTCCCGTTCAGTCTAAGGCAGCAGCGGGAGAATTTCCCGGCCGGTAGCAAACAGCAATAGCAACAGCAGCAAGCAGTGGGCCGAGTATCGTGACGTCACTCGCCCAGTTAAAGGGGATGGGCTCCCTCTGCGCAATTTCCACCAAGAGCTCCATGGTTCTTGGGAGCTGGCTTTCAAGGTGATGTGCTTCACCTGTTGGGTGATCCCTTCAAAGGAAGGTATTTGTGCTGCTTTGAATGATGGGGACAACACTCGAGAAGCCTGAAACAAAAACTGTCCTGCGTATACATATTTTTATGTTACGATCAGGAACTATGTTTTCCCAATTGTCAGTGTGTGTACACTTTCTGCTTATATCCCTAGCTTTATCCCTAAATACTGGACCATTTTTCTCTGTGGCTGGGATTGCAAAAGATTGCAGGGAGGAATGTTTCTCCACTCTGCTAAGAAATGTCACTGATGAAGGTGGGGGGCATTTGCATGTAAAAGAATGCATTCCTCCCTGATCCAATACTTTATTATCTACTTGATTCAATCTCAGCCTCAGATAGCAAACTTTATTGCTTCCCCTGCCTCCTAATTCTACATGTTGGGTACGCTTAAAGTCTATCAAACATTTGAATTCAGGATTGCGGTCCTGAACACACTCATTTGTAGCTTCAATTTATTTCCAAGTAAATATGAAGTGAATTTGCCTACTCCCAATATTAGGAATGTTGGCTTAGAAATGCGGTTAATTCAGTGGGTGTAACATGAAATGTTTAAGTCTAAAGTGACCAGATGCAAAGGAAGTGTACGGTATTTTTATTACACACAAGTAACTTGAATACCTCTAAACAATAAAAGAAACAGGTCTATTTGAACCAGTACTCTGGCTCAGCCCAGTACAGCACTAGCATTCAGTGTTAATTTTCACCAATTGCATTTAAGCATGATAAAAACTGCCTTACCTAATACCTTTATGCTGCACAGTTCCCATGTTGCTACAGACACAATACAAAGGCTAAGCAGAAGCACACACATGCAGATTGAATTAATTAAATTCACAAGAGAAAATAGATTTTTCTATCCATGATGGGTTAAAGAAAAAAGGAAAAAATTCCAGAAACCATGCTCTGTATTATTTCTACCTTGTTTTGTATGTTTTAGATATATCTAGATTTATTTTTTTTCCAAAAGGGAAGTGCTTTGAATTGAGAAAATAATATAGACTCAGAGAAAGTACTGAAACTTTAAAAATAGTTGCCTCCCTTTATTGAGAACTGAATGTACCAAGATCGGTGTGCCCTAATGTGTCCCTGGAAATCTGGGTAGCAGATGCTCTGTTCTGGGTCATATGACCACAAGGGCTTAGAAAGGAACTGCTGCCTACCTGCCTTTCCCACATATAGATATACTGGGGGGATTTTGTCATCCCCCGCCCTGCGATCCCCTCAGCCAAAACTAGCCCATTTTTAAACTTCATCCTTTTCTTTGGCCGCTCTCTTCCTGCCACAACGAATTTAGTCTCATCGGAGAGTTCTCCTGCTTGCAGTCATCCTATTCTTCCAATTTGCTGAACTGGAAGGAATTAAAAGGGCTGCAGTAAAATGGCCACATTAAATTCTTGGTGACTTGCAAATATACCATCGCTTCTAATCAGCTTTCCATTTTCAAACTTTAAATATACACTTGTTATCTCGACTGAGTAACTATATGCTGTATAAAGGTATGCAATTCACCGCAATTACACAAAACCAAGAACAAAGGGGGGAGGGGCTTGAGCTCCTGAAGGAAAGGGAACCATAAACAAAAGCCAAGTTACACTACCCCTTATTTCGTAGGAAACAAGTTTTAATATTAGTTTCCCCCCCCCCTTTTAATTCTACTGTCTCCGAGTCAGCTTGACTCCTGGCGACTCAGTCCCTGCATTTTTCTTGGCAAGCTTTCCCAAAATGATTTGTCATCGTATCCTTCCTAGGGCTGAGAAAGAATGAATGACCCTAGACAACCCCGTTGGCTTTGTGCCTCAGGCAGGATTTAACACTCACACTTTCCCGGTTTTTGGCCTGATGCCTTAATCCCCACCCCAGGGGCTCGATTTCCCGCTAGCCCCATCCAACTCTATGAAGCTTCACCCCCCCCCCCCCCCCACGCTGTAAGAAACGCGACCAGCAGAGTTCTCGCAAGACTCTCGGCTTAGGCGCTACGGCGCCCCCTGCTGGGCGGCTCTAAGCCCACGCCTTCGCGGTAGGCGGGCTGGATCCGTCAGCTCATTTCTTCCCAGCTTCAGTTGCATCATGGCGGCTCGGAGCCTGGGCGGCTCAGGCCTGCTTGCGCGGAACCTGTCGTGCCTTCTTCTCCTTCTTTCAACCGACCTGCGGGCCCGGCAGGCCTGTTAGTACCGGGTGGGGGAAACCAGTGCGGGGCTGCAGGCAGCCCAAGGCAGGTACGTCCTCGAAAGGCGGAGGCGAGCGAGGGTGGCTGAGCCTGGCGGCTAGCGAAGGGCGAGTGGGGTGACCCGCGGCTTGGGGGCTAATTAAGCCATGGAAAGCGGGTTGGGGTGGGGTGGACCCGAGGTTTTGCGTGGCCTCGAAAACCCCCTGCCGGGAAACGAAGCGTGGAAAAGAGGCAGAAGATAAGCGTCTGTAGGATGAAACCGGAATCGGCCGATTTAGCCCGGCTCCTCCTTCGAGGCGCCGTGGCTGCTGTGCAAACACGCCTCTCCCGTGGCGCCCTTCGGCTCAGTGCTTGTTTTCTCGCTGCTGAACATTTCAAGGGCTGGAGCCTCGTGGAGCCTTGCATGCGTGTTTTCCTTCCGCTCCTCCGCCCATCCCGGAAAATATGTTATCCTCCCTTTTTCTAGCAGCTGCTAAGTCATGTCCCAAAGTTGCTTTTTTTTCCCTCCAAGAGGCAACTGGAGTTCCTTGTTGTTTTCTTTGAAGACGTTTTGGCTTCTCATCCACCAAGAAGCTTCTTCAGCTCTTGACTTGGATGGTGGGGAATGGAAGGATTTATATTTATACAGCTGGTCATTGGCAAGGAATATAAATCCTTCCATTCCCCACCATCTCTAGTCGGAGCTAAAGAAGCTTCTGGGGTGAGAAGCGAAAAACAAAGACAAACCGAGGAAGTCCAGTTGCCTCCTGAAAAAGCATCTTTGGGACAAAAGATGACTGAGAATCTCTACACAGATTTTCTGCTAAGTAATGGTTAATAACCTAATCAAAGCTGAATTTAAAAAAAAATAAATAAAATTGCACGGTAATATTAAATGCCACATTTTCTTCCCTGTTCCAAATGCATCAAGAGCTGGACCAGGTCAAAAGACGGATTAGGCAATAGTATTGCAGTTGATGGAGTTCAGCCCGGTAGTCAAGGGGATGCCCTTTGGAAGCTCACAACCCTGGAAAGCTATGGCTCCTTTCCAGTGCTGCTTTCCAGGAGCCAGCATTTAGGACAATGCTTCCTTGGTTCAAGGGATAATAAACAGCCACTGATTGTAGCAGCTTTTGATACTTGGGTCCTCTGTGAACATGCTGAGCTAGTCCCCTCTTAAAACTCTCTAACTTGGCTATTACAATAACAGAGGTGAATTCTCCAGTTGAATAATGCAGCATGTTAGATATGGATAGTGGTGATCCATTGATTGCTTATTTGCCGTCAGATGGTTTTCGACTCCTAGTGACTAGCTCATTATACTTTTCGGCCTTCATTTACTTGGTGATAAACAGATTGCAATTGTAAAGCTTTCTAGTTACTACAGTATTTAAAGTTGTTTTACATTAGTTGGAGGGTTGCATTAGAATATAGATGCACTTTATGCTCTGGGGCTCACATGTTACTGCCCTGTTCTTTAGAGAAGCTTTGGCAAAATTTCTGTTGGTCATTTTATTGATATTCCTGTTATTTGATTTGTCAATTCATAATGGGCTTGGTTGTGCAGTTTTTTTAAACTGAATGTAAGACAGACAAATTGTTATGAGACTATAAATGACTGCCGGTATTATTTGTATATGTTTTTTACATAATCCAGAAACTTGGGTGATGGGTGACTTTACAATCAAATCAAATTCCTTTGCACGTCAGTAACTTTGATCTGTAACTTTGATCAACAATGACAATGGTAGAATAATAGATGATAGACTGTGGTTATTATTACATATCCAGATATTGCTACTTTTATTAAGTGTATCCATATCATCTTAGAACAGTGCTGTGGGAGAATATGTCTCTGTTAAATCTTGGGTTTTGCTCTTAGTAAACCTCTCTTAAAATAGCAATCTATGTATTGAATTATGTGCTTATGTTGGTTTGTGAGGTAGATATTGTTTTAGGTTTTAATTATGTGAAAATTCAATAAGTAGATTTCTACTTTAATACCTTTAAATATTTTTTACTTTAAAATAAGTGTAAATGCTGCTTCATGTATCTGATAATCCTTATTTTAATGATTGATCAACAAAATTTACATTCAGTATTAAAGCCATCCTATTGTGCTAGTCGTTAGCTTACTATGTTAACTAAAATTGAAGGTGCTAGAACAAATATAAAAACAATGTGTCATGATGATTGCACATAGCAATAGGATTAGGAAGTCAACTATGATTAAAGTTATATAAAATAGCAAAAGCAATAGAATTTAGACTTATATACCGCTTCATAATGCTTTATAGCCCTCTCTAAGCAGCTTACAGAGTCAGCATATTGCACCCAACAATCTGGGTCCTCATTTTATTGACCTCTGAAGGATGGAAGGCTGAGTCAACCTTGAGCCTGGTGAGATTTGAACTGCCAAATTGCAGGCAGCTGGCAGTCAGCAGAAGTAGTCTGCAGTACTGCATTGTAACCACTGAACCATTATTATACCAAAATAACTAACACAAATAATACTAAAATCTTATATGTATTTCAAATCTGAATATTAATAGTATGGCTGAAAACTATAATGCAAAAATTTGGGTAGAACCTGAAATGGGACACATGTCTTACATATAGTATGCTAGATTCTGATTATGCTGTAATGTGCTGAGTGCTATAATGCTACGCTATTTTTCCAGTACTAATATACTTTTATCATATGGGATTTGCGTTTTTCCAACTGTCTTTTCTCTCCCCCCCAAACCAAGTTGAGGTTTCTTTGATATTACTACCAGTAGCTAGATATTTTAGATATAAAAAGTTGCAGGATCTCCAGATGGAAGCCATTTCATGATTGGAGAATTACCCAGTTAGATGTCTTTAAAGTAGTTAAAGCAACTCTAAGCATACTTAATAACACCTAGGAAACATAAACATCTGCTGCAATATTTCTTACTGCTTTAACTTAAAAAAAAATTCTTGCTTCTTAATTTTTGTTAGTCTTTCTGCATGGAAGCTCCTGGGGATGATTTGATAGTTTCAGCTTCAGCAAGAGAATGCCCTATTTTGACATCTTTCTGTCATCATAACTTGTGGTAAGATATTTTGGCCTTTATTTTTTTTATCATAAACTTTATTAGGATTATACAGTGGTGAGATTCTGCCGGTTCTAGGCGGTTCGGCTGAACCATTTGTTAAATTGCTGGCTCGCCCCGCCCCTTGCCCTGCCCCTCCGCACCACTATTTATTGGCCTCGGCCCTCACAGCACACGAACCTTTGTTAAATTGCTAGCTCGCCCCGCCCCTTGCCCTGCCCCTCCGCACCACTATTTATTGGCCTCGGCCCTCACAGCACACGAACCATTTGTTAAATTGCTGGCTCATCCACCCTCCCCACCACTATTTATTGTCAATAAATAGTGGTGGGCAGGGCGGGGCGAGGAGCAGGCGAGTCAGCAATTTAACAAACGGTTCGGCGTTTTTTTTGTAATTTATTGGCCTCGGAGCACACCGAACCGTCTGTTAAATTGCTGGCTCACTCGCCCCGCCCCCACCCCGCCCCACCCACCATTATTTATTGGCCTCGCTTGTAGTGTTGCACAGCTTGCCTGCAGTTATTCTTTGGCTCCTCGACCACGTGGCCCAGCCTGCTTTCCTAACTTTGCCCGCAGCAGCCTCCCACTCTGTTCCCGAACGCCCATCTTGGACTGCCCCCGACCACTCCAGCAGCAGAACAGGCAAGTACACCCGAGTACTGCCCTCGGGGAAGTGGGGCTGGGAAAGGTGGTCGACCTGTGCCCTGCATGGCTGCCGGCCGCGGCCTACCCCCATCCGAACACCTTACTAGTGGCTGGCGGCCGCGTGGCTAGCGAGGTGCTTGGATGGGGTGGCCAGCGGCTGTGAACCGCTGGCTACCCCATCCAAGCGCCTCGCTAGCCACACTGCCGCCAGCCACTAGCGAGGTGTTCGGATGGGGATAGACTGCGGTCAGCAGCCGCGTGACTAGCGAGGCGCTTGGATCAGGTGGCCAGCGAGGCGCTTGGATGGGGTAACCAGTAGCTGACGGCCGCTGGCTACCCCATCCAAGCGTCTCAGCCTGCCGCCAACCCAGCAGGACTGTCCTCTCACCCGCGCGGCGCCAGCCTACCCTACCCCATCCAGTCGCTGGGGGAGACGCGTGACTTCTCTCCGCCCAGGAACACTGGCTGCCCAGGCTGCAGCCGATGCTCCGCATCGTAATAGGCTCCAGGAGGAGAAGGGGCGCCGTCTGCCCCATTGCGAAGCTCAGTAAGAGGAACCAGAGCCGGCTGCAGGTGCAGCCAGGTGGGCGCATGCGCAGTGGGGCGCAGGCTTAAGGTGCCGCCTCCAGGCCAAGGGGTGACCCGATGGTGCGGTAAGTGCGCTGCCACCGCTGCCGCTGCTCGGGCAGAAGAGAAGGAGAGATGAAAAAGAGAAAGGGGGGGAAGAGAGATGGAGAGAAAGAGAGATGAAGGAGAGAAAGGGGGGAGAAAGAAAGAGATGAGAGAGATGAAAGAGACACACAGAGATACCTGTTTAAAAGAAAATACAGGGAGCCACAAAACCTGGGTGGGAGTAAGTGATATGGAGGTGTTTTTTTTTTTTTAATTTGATTTATATGCCGCCCTTCTCCGGAGACTCAGGGCGGCTTACAATGCGTTAAGCATTGAGTTGGCAATGCCCACCCAGGTTTAAGGCTGTGTTTAAGTGTTTACATGTGTTTAAGATTGAGTGTTTAAAGTTGCAGACCCCTGACCTACCCCGTCCGATCGCTTCACCCTGCAGCCAGCCCTGTAGGCCTGCACCTGCCTCCCACCTGGGCAGCAGTAGCCTACCTACCCCGATTGTATCACCTTGCCCTGCAGCTGGCCCGAACGCCTGCCTCTGACCGCTCCAGCAGGTCATTTTTATTTAATTAATTTAATTAAGAATGCTGCAATGGGCATAAATGATGATCGATCAAAAGTGCGAGGACCTGTCAGAAATCACTTTTTTCAGCCCTCTGGGTAGTCCCTATCTGCCTATGGACTACTCAGAAGGCTGAAAAAGTTATTTTTGACTGGTCCTCGTACTTTTGACCAGTCCTCGCACTTAAGACTGTCCTCACATTTTACGTTTTGCACCCTATCTTGTCACCGTGGTGAAGAGAAGTAGTTGTGAAATGAGTGACACGGTGGTTAAGAATGCTGCAACGGGCATAAATGTGAGGATGGTCATAAGTGCGAGGACCAGTCAAAAGTATGAGGACCTGTCAGAAATCACTTTTTTCAGCCCTCTGGGTAGTCCCTATGTGTATATGGACTACTCAGAGGGCTAAAAAAGTTATTTTTGACAGGTCCTCGCACTTTTGACCACTCCTTGGACTTACAACTGTCCTCACATTTTACGTTTTGTGCCCTATCTTGTCACAGTTGTGAAATGACTGACACGGTTGTTAAGAATGCTGCAACGGGCATAAATGTGAGGATGGTCATAAGGGTGAGGACTGGTCAAAAGTGTGAGGACCAGTCAGAAATGACTTTTTTCAGCCCTCTGAGTAGTCCCTATGCACATAGCCACATCCACCCAGTCACATGACCAGCTAGACACGCCCACCCGGTCACACGACCAGCTAGCCACGCCTACCAACTAAGCTACGCCCACATAACCGGTTAAAAAAATTGAATCCCACCACTGGGATTATACCTGGATAAATTAATTTATCATGTTGTTTCGTATTGCTGCCTTCAAATTAAATATTAGGCAGCATGCATTCTTAAAAAAAAGATTAGAACTTTCTTGTGATATCCTTGGTTTTATCATAAGCCAAGATATTTTATTCTAGTCTAATTATTACAGACCAAAATATCTTATATTTTTATTAGGTAACAGCAGTCCTGTCCTGGATTTCTAAATAGTGAAGCATCTGGAGTTAAAATCATGACTTCGAGACGAACAGATGTTCCTGGTAAAACTAACTGATACAGAATTCATATATATATTGAAATAGGGTGCACTATTGATTCTAACAAATACTTAGTTTCCAATTAAAGTTTCTGAAGGGTTTTATAAATACTGTTTTAAGGAGAGTTTACCGGTATTTACATCTAGGAGTCTGTATAACTGAGTCGAAGGCTAGAGAAATGGATGGTTAGACTCTCCTGAATTTATTCAAGAATAATTGAATATGTTGTGAACTGCTCAGAATTGCTTAGAATGGGGCAGCCATATAATTTTTAAAAAGAAATAAGCAAAGTAAGCAGGGTTCTGTCTCTGTTTAATTTGGATTCCTCTTTGAATAGGAGGTTGGACTTGATGGTGTAAGTTTTTTTTTTAAAGCTCTATGATTTTAATACTCTGAAATTCTGGCTCTGCTCTTATATATATAGTTACCTCAGTTAGTTTTGAACTAAAATGTTATGCCTGTTAGCTTTCTTTTTTAAGTCGAGATTAATTAAAATTAATTAATACAAAATGAGTAGCTGTTATTAGAAAAACACTATATTTTTATATTTAAAAATAGCTTTTATTTGCTATCTATTGGTTTATGTATTTAGTTATTCTGATGTTCATTTGTATTCTTTTGAGTCCTGATTAAATTGCTATTGAGCATGTTTGTTTTGATTGGAGAGCTAGTGTGCCTCTGTTCCATGTCCATATGTGGAAAAATGTTAGCGATTTGGGGGTAGTACATTAGGCTATTATATATCTTTAATCAGGAATAGAAAATATTTCAAAATCCTCATGCATTTATAAGTAAAATGTTCAGCCTTTTCATACTGCCTCTCTTCCCGGTATTTTGAAGAAAGCAAACTGGATGTCTGAACTAATTGTGGAAATTGCTATAAAGAGAAGCTAAAGACAAGACAAAATTTTCAGGAAGTAATTTAATAAAGGGTTTCAGAGAACTATTAGAAGAGACAAGAGCAGTATTACAATGGCGTCTTTAAAGTCACTGAAGATGGAAACAGACATGGAAAAACAAAGTTTTCCAAAATATTTCTGAATTCAGAAAAAGATTCCAACCTCAAATTGGTGTGCTAATGGACATTAATGGGCAGATAGTAATTGATTCAAAGATTGATCAAAGATAGAAGATGTATATTAAAACACACTACAAATGAACAGAGATATCAACATCCAAGATATCTTTAAAAATATTCCCTACTTAAAAATACTAGAAATAAATCAAACCACAGAATAAGACTTAAATATCCAGCAAATCTGGAGAATGACACAGTGTTCTTGTCTGGGGACTAAAAATCTATCTCAGGGGTCCCAAGCTCTTCAGCTCATTAATCCCTTCATGAAGTTTCAGATTGTTCATTGACCCCCAAACATTTATTATATTAAAATGATTTAATAAATATTGCTTTAATGCTATTAGGCATAGTAAAAATCACAACAACAATCTCATCAAGCCTTGGAGGTTGATGCTGGCCATTTTCTGGAACCCTGATCTATATTCTAATAGCAGAAAAATGAGACATAAATGAGTATGCAAACTATTGTGTAATATCCATAATTTCACATACTAAAAATGATGCTTAGACTCATCCAATACTCAATGGAAAACGAGATGACACGTGTTCAAACTGGCTTTAGTAAAGGCCAAGTAACACCAAATGTTATTGCTGATGTATGCTGTATAATTGAGAAAGCCAAAGAATATCATAAAAAGAAGCCAGCCTGTGCTTCCTTGATTACAGAAAAATCAATTGTATCAATCATATTAAGCTAGAGAATGTGGTTAGAAAAACGGGAATCTCAGAACATCTCATTGCTTTAGGGAAAAAACTATGTTTTTGGATAGAACATAATGAAATGTACTGGTTCCCTATTGGCTAAGGAGGAAAAACAAGGCCATAGTCTCTCCCCTTATTTATTTAACTTAATGCTGAACATATATTAAAGGAAACTGGACTGGAAGAATATGAACGTGGTTTAAAATTGAAGAAAGATCCAAAACCTGTGTTATATTGATGACACTACTTCGATAGCTGAAAATACAAAGGAGCGCCAAGATCTAGTAATACAGGTAGTCCTTGCTTACTGATCACTTGTTCAGCAGCTGTTCAAAGTTGTGATGGTTCTGAACAAGTGATACTTATGACCAGTCCTTGGTCATGTGATTGCCATTTGCGACCTTTCCTGTCAGTTTGCCGCAGGCAAAGTCAGCAGGATATGCCAGCAAGTAATATCTAAAGTTACTCTGGTAATTCCCTCCCCCCCAGCCCTCCTGCATACACATCCCATCGACACACACACACACATACACACACACACACACCCCGGTGTCTTCCCAATTCGTGCCACAGCACACTCTGACATCATCTAGCTCATAAGGGGCCTTTACTGGTCCTGCCACAGCTTTCCCCAGCCTCTCCCTCTATAGCGTTCCTGCCCTCCTCACTTGGGACTCTTGTTACTTTCATTTTAATGACTCGCATGTCTTGGGGAAATGATGTTAATCAGGATTGCTAGCATTATGTCATTAAGAGTCTGGTCATATGACATTGCTCTCTATGACTGCATTGCTTAGCAATTGCAGTCTCAGTTCAATTGCTATCATAACCTAGGGACTACCTGTAATAGTCAAGGAGTGCACTGAATGAATAGGACCAAAACTAAATACGAAAAACAAACTAATGGCAAGAGATCCAACAACCAGCCATAGAATTGACAGTGAAGATATAGGAGAGATGGATAGCTTCTGCCTTTTAGGATCAACTCTTAACAATAAAGGTACAATCAAATATAAATCAAGGCCTTGGAAAAGATATTCATAGGCCAGGTTGTATCTATAATTTATTTATTATTTATTCATTCACTTTCTTTAGCCACCCATCTCGGTTAATGACTCCGGACAGTTTACAATTCAAAAAATATATTACAATTAGAACACTGAAAGCACTTTAAAACAATAAAAACATTCAGAATAAATAAACATAGCAGCCGAGATACTTGGTCAGTTAGTAAAACAGCCAGGAAGTGGGATCCTTGATACATTCAAGATCCCAGACTTGGGAACATACCCAGGTTTATAGGACCTTTCAAAAGGCTAACAGGCCATTCTATCTCCGAAGGGAGGATGTTCCATAAAGGAGGAGTCACTGTGGAAAAAGCACGTGTTGTAACCCCCGCCAGTCAATACTCTTTGGCTGACAGGATCTGCAGCATGCCCATTCTGCTGGATTGGGTTGGACTGGTAGAGATGATCCCTCAGGTAACCCAGTCTCAAGCTATGTAGCCATGACAATTAGCACCTTGAATTGCACCCAGAAATATACTGGTAACCAATGAAGCTCTCGCAGAAGTGGTGTTACATATATCTTTGAAAAAGCAGGATTAAAAGTTTAAAAGAATATTGTCATTTTTTGAACTTTGGTGTTGGAGAAGCCTTCTGAGAATACCGTGGACATCCAGGCAAACAAATAGATTATTGAACAAATCAATCCAGAGTTCTCACTTGAAGCATAATGACCAGGCTCAAATTATCCTACTTTTGGATACATTATGCAAAGACCTAGCTCTCTGGAGAAGGCTAGGAAAAGTGGGGGAAAAGAAAAGAGGATGACTAGCAGCAAAGTGGGTGGCTTAAGTGGCAGTGCAGTACACCATTTGAAGATCAGGTTGGGGAAAGATCATCGTGGAGAAAGTCTAGCAATGTAGTTGACACCAGCTTTCTGCCACATAATTAGTCAATCCATTTGCACTTTATTAAAAGGAAATCTGGTTCATACGCTGTCCTAAATATCCTTATATTGAAGGATATCAATTAGTAAGTCAATGGTATATATAAGTTTTTGACATTAAAAATTGTGTTTTAATAATTCAGCCATAACAACATTTCTAAAACATTTGGCTGGAAATTTTGTAGCCATACATTTTTTTACATGTCACATTTGAAATAAACGTATGAAATAGAAGATGTTTAAATCAAGAATGGGCAACCATGATCCTAGGGCCGTGATGGCAAACCTATGGCACGCATGCCCAAAGTGGCATGCAAAGCCATGTCACCCGGCACGCCACAGCCTTGCCTGTTTGTCTTCTGGGTTTCTGGCGCACATGCACACGTGACGATCAGCTGTCCTTCGCGCATGTGGCAGTGCAGAAAACTGGTGTGCGTATGCACGCCGGCCAGCTGATCGTCATGCGCACTAGAACCTGTAAGTTTAGCTTTTCTGGAGCGCGGCCCCGACGAGCGCATGCACACTCATGCGATGTTTCCGCACAACTGTAACTGTCGCCATTACTGTGGCGACAGTAATCTTTAAACTAAAGATATTTATCAGAAATATCAGAAGATATTTTGCAAGGGGTCAGGTGAGATTGTTGAATCTGTTTTTTCTCTAGCAGTAACTGCTATGAGTGGGAATATGGGTAAAAAGGTCTGCCAAGAAGAAATGCAGATTCAGTTACAATTAGTGTCCTTATCTGCCTCTTGCTTTAGGCTTGTCCATCTTTTCTAAGCAGTGCGGACCTCAATAGGAAAGATTGCCATCCTATATTAGGTCATGATATAATGTGTTGCACTTTATTTGGTTGTAAATGCTGTGTTAGTTGCATCAAAGGTGTTTCAAAATTATGGCACTGATCCTAGAAGGCCCTTGATGAAAGAAGGGCTAATACTATCTATTCTGCTTATGAAAAGGTAAAACACTAAAAATCCAAATTATTGTGTGAAATCTCAATCTCTGTCCTTAGCTATAGAACATGGCTCTGGAAGCCTTCTAGGGAAGATATCCCAGCCAATTGGAATGAATCGTCGGGCATTCAATTATGATGATGCCTTGGAGGATACAGCACCAATGACTCCTCCTCCTTCAAACATGACCACCAATATCTTATGGAAAGAACCAGTCATTCCAGATCACAGATATGAAAAGATTTCCCAGGTATGCAGTTTGTTGAGCTAATAAATAGATAGCATAAGATTTCTAATGATACTGTCCTGTTGGAGGGGATGGTCATCTCCCAACTAAAATTAAACATATCGAAGCATTTGATTGGAAGAGGTGATAGATTTTTTTAAAGCCATACATCCATAGAGGTAAACAGCTTTTAAAAATGACATAGTTCTGCACTGATCAGACTTGCTAAAACATTTCTTATAAAATGAATGAGAGACAACAATGGAGAGCAAGTATGATTCTTAGAGTACTTCGAACAAAGGCATGTATTGTAATTAAAACTTTTTATATGAAAAAGCATACAGGTAGTCCCTTGACTTCCAGCCACAATTGGGATGGGAACTTTTGCCACTAAGCAATGCAGTCATGAAGTGAGTCATCACGTGACCGTTTCTTTGACATTTTTTTGCTGAGGTTGTTAAGCAGAATAGATTTCCCCCATTGACTTCGCTTGTCAGAAGTCATTTGGGAAGGTTAGACATGGTGATCACATAACCTCAGGATGCTGCAACCATCATAAATACCTGCTGGTTGCCAAGGGCCTGAGTCACGGTCATTTGACTGTGGGGACACTGTAATGCAGGTAGTCCTTGACTTACAGCAGTTTGCTTAGTGACCATTCAAAGTTACAACGGCAGTGGAAAAAGTGACTTTTGGGCATTTTTCAGACTTATGACCATTGCAGCTTCCTCATAGTCACATGATTTACATTTGGATGATTGACCAGTGACTCACATTTATGACGGATGCAGTGTTCCTGGGTCATGTGATCCCCTTTTGCAACCTCCTGACAAAGGCAATGGGGAAGCCAGATTCACTTAACAGCTGGGTTACTAATTGAACAACTGCAGTGATTCACTTAACAAATGTGGCAAGAAAAGTTGTAAAATGGGGCAAAACTCACTTAACAAATTTCTCACTTACTGACAAATTTTGGGCTCAATTGTGGTTGTAAGTTGAGGACTATCTGTAGTTGTAAATACAAGGACTGATTACAAGTGACTTTTTCAGTACTGTCATAACTAGACGAATAGGTGTAAGTTGAGGATTATATGTCTTCTACACTGAGTATAAACTGTGTACTCTGAATATTTTGCAAATTTTAGGTTAAATTGAAGGAAATGAGATAAAATCTGCAAGCCCAGTTTACTCATTCTTTAAAGTCTTTATTACTGTTTTAATATAGAAGGAATTGATACTTATAGTACAGATTGAGCTATATAAAGATAGGAAATTTATAAATGAGCTGTACTAGGCTTAAATAACAAATAACTTCATGTTACTCAATTTTAACTTTGTATCTTTTATATAACTGAGAGGGGTTTTTTTAATAAGGGAACGAAGCAGTTGTGATTGTTATTCTGATATATGGTCTACTTTTTAGAAATAGTGAATAGTCCAAAAATTGTGCTTGTGTCTTTAAGCAGGAAAATGAATGAGAGAATTATTGCATAAAAAGCCTTTTTAGCTATTTCTGTAGCTAGACTTTTTCTAGTGAAAATAAAAGAAGTTTCTTTAGGTGAATTCTTGTTATCAGTTGGCTACAAGAATGGTTGTTTCAAAATGTTGTACAGTGTTTCATATTGTAAGCAAGAGAGTGGAAATATGTCAACTCAAGATTATTGTGTTCAATGCAAGTTCCAAAAGTTTTGTCCATGAGATCAGAAGTTGAAATTTTAGCTGAAATTCTCCTAATTTTGTCTCTTTTTCCAAAATTGCATCTGGCTTCCTCTGTATAGGTTGGGGAAGGGGAAACTAGCACACATCCCTCTGCCAAAATCCCCCCATCTTCATCTGAGGGGAACAAGACACCTGTAGTGAAGGCCAAAGCCACCCACATCATCATGAATTCTCTTATAGCAAGTAAGAGCTCTTGCATTCCTTTGGTAGGCAAGTTAATTTCTGCAGAGAATTTTGCAATGTAACTTGTATCCCGTTTATTTATGAATTATTCCTGACCTCCTTCTGAATTATTTATTTATTAAATTTATATAGATCTCACGAAAAGTCACTATGGGCGGTGTATAACAAAGCTAAAACAGCGAATAAGCACATAAAGCCACTAACAGATGAAGGGATGGAGCTGTCTTACAATGCCCTGGGATCCTCAGGCTTGCTGGCATAACCAAGTCTTAAGGGGCCTTTGAAAGCTCAAAGTGGTGAAACCAGTCTTCTCTCAGTGTAAAGAAGATTCCACAGTGCGGGCATCCGCCCTCTAGAGCCTGCCAAACAAGGTTTCCTAGCAGATGGGTGTTGTAAGATGCCCTCTCTGCTGGATCTTCCATATGTCCCTGCGAAGGGTTCCACAGGCCCCCTTTACCTAAGAGGGCTTGTGTCACGCAAAACAGGACTGTGTGGGGTGGCAGTTTGCAGACTGAGAAGTACTGCTGCTTCACCACTCTTACTGCCACAAAGTAGGCCTTAATAGAGGCTCTAACCTTTGTTCAGTTCAGTTCCTCTCCATTTGAGGTACTCTAGACATCTCTTCTCCCATTTCATCTCTCTCAGCTCCTTTGTAAACCATGGGGGGGTGATGAGTTCTGTGAAAGGGGAGAGGTCGCATACTCAGGATCTAATCCAAAACCTCAGTTGCCCCTTTATTCCTAGTGGTAAATAAGGTTTGGAAGGACTGTGCAGGAGACCAATAGGAACAACCCTCAGCCCCCACAGAAATTACACTGGGTCCATCAGTCATCAGGGGTGGATCAATGTAATAGATCCAGCCTCCCTGCAGTGCATATTGCTGCCAAAAAATCCCATGATAATCAAGGCATGATCTGACCATGAAAAAGGGGACACCAAAAGCTCCCTCAATTGAGGATTACAGCCACTGCTCCCAACAGGAATTTCAGATCTGGTGTGTGACCACAGTCCCATGTTTGGCTCTTGATGATCTGGGATACACCCTTGGCTGTCATGGTAGCTATGAAGTCCTGAGCTTCTTAGACCCTGTTTCCACAGAAGGCAGATGGAAGTCCCCTCCAAGAACATAAGTCAGGGGAAATCCTCTGCCAACCAGGAATGAAATCAGGAACTCAGGCAGGGAAGTTGCCGTGCAGCAGGGAACCTGGTACAATAGCCACACTCCCAACTGAGCCAAGTCAGAATTATGACATAGTTCTATTTGTGCAGAGAAAAATTGCATGCCATACTAGGAGGTAACATCTTTAAATGATAAATAAAATGTCCTAACAACCCTTTGATTCTCGTACCTGTTATACCTCTGTGAAAAATTTAAAAAACATGTTTACAGGGCCTGTAGTACTGTATTGCACTTTTTGTGACAGTATTGATCTTCTGCTGCCATCTACCATTCATTAGTTTCTGGCTAACACATTTCATTTGTCCAACAAATGATGTCCTTAAATAAATGGCTGTGAGAGGCAACTTCTTGCCATTTGTGTAGTAGTAGCTGCTACATCTTTGTGGGAAATAACATACTGACGAATGGAGAATTATGTTGAAAATAATGGTCTGCCAAAAGTTGGCAATAATATACATTCTGTTAATGGGCAGATAATTAGAAAATAGCCTGTGTAACTTCATAATGAGTGCTTGAATTAAGGCTATAAAACAATGTAATTTAAAGCTTTCTACCCCTTTCTGTGTTTGGTTTGCCTTAGCTTTAGGAACATCTGTTCTTGAATTTTATTTATTTATTTGATTGATTGAATGATATGCTGCCTTAATTTTTGTGGAACTCCAGGCAGTTCACATAATGCTTCTGTCTCCTATTTTCTCCACAACGATAATGCCGTGAGGTGAGTTGGGCTAAAAGGGAATAATTGGCCCAAAGTTAGTCAGCTGGCTTTTTTCTGCCTAAGGCAGGACTAGAACTCTTATCATGTTTTCCCGAAAATAAGACATGTCCAGATAATAAGCTCAATCGGGCTTTTCAGCGCATGCGATAATATAAGCCACCTCCACAAAATAAGCCCCCCCACCAACTACTTACACGCATGCGCAGCAGGTCCCGCCATTTCCTCTGGTTGCTTGCCGTGCAACCAAAATGAGTTGAGGCGAGGCCGGGAGGGGGTGAAGGGGGGACATCCCCTCCCTCCCTGTTCTTCGCGCCGGCCAAGCAGCCCAACACATCCCACCCCACCCCAGTGGCAACAGCAGCCTGGCTGCTTCCCTTCCCCACCATCTCTTTATCGAGAGGTGGGGCAGGGGAGAGAAGCAAGACGCGTGGAGCAAGATGTGGCTCCCCTTGTCGTCTTTTCTTTCCCGCCCCCTGGCCGGGCATGGCAGGGCTCCTGCCCCTTTCTTAGCCACCTGCCCCCTTTAGGGATGCAATTTGGGGGGTGGCAGGTGGGGCGGGCGAGAAGTGGGATGCAGGTCTTACCATTCAAGCTCCATCGCTTTCCTCGCCATTGTGTCCAGGGAAACACGCTGTAAAAGAAAACCTTGCAAGTTCAAGAAGTTTGATTGAACTCACGAGGTTTTCTTTTACAGCGTGTTTCCCTGGACACAGTGGCAAGGAATGCGACGGAACTGGAAAGGTAAGACACTTGTCCCGCTTCTCACCCACCCTACCTGCTACCCCCAAATTGCATCCCTAAAGGGGTCTGGTGGCTAAGCGAGAGGCAGGAGCCCTGTCATGCCTGGCGAGGGGGGGGAGAAGAGATGGCAAGGGGAGCCACGTCTCGCTCCATGCGTCTCACTTCTCCGTCCCACCTGCCACCCCTCTCGATAAAGAGACAGTGGGGAAGGGAAGCAGCTGTTGCCATTGGGATGGAGTGGGACGTGTTGGGCTGCTCGGCCGGCGCGAAGAACAGGGAGGGGAGTGACGGCAGCGACAGGACATCACGCTTGCCACCTCCTGCACCCCCAAAATAATAAGACCTCCCATAATAAGACCAAGCCCTTTTTTGGGGGGGTGTCAAAAGAAAATAAGACCCTGTCTTATTTTGGGGGAAACACGGTATTTGTCTAGTAAGCACAACATTTTGAAAAATGAGTTCTACAAACCTCTATCACCCAAGGTTACTTTTTCTTTCCCATTGAATTAAAATTGTCTAACAAGGTTTGCTTTAACGTAGATAATGTTTTATTTAAGAAAAATTAAAAGGTATTATAATATTTTAAACTCTATATCTTAGTGATAAAATATTTTGTTTGAATAGCTAAGAATCATGGTTTACAGCCTGTTGTTTCCTGCTAAAGACTAAAATCTTGATTTTAGATATGAGTTTAAATAGTATAGACTTGGATGACTAATAATCTGCTTCATCTTTAACCGAAAACAGAAACAGGGAATGGGAGTGTTTTTGACAAATAAAAAAAAAACTGAAGGGGATAGTAGAACTTAATACTGCTTTTGTGCTTGGTTGCCTCCTTAGCAAGTTTTTATTTGTACATATAGAACATATGTAATAAATTATTAGAACACATTAGAAACACCAATCTGATTATAGAACTAATTGGAGAGGGAAAGTGTGTGTTTTCATGTGTATAACAAAATCTTAAGCCATTGATACAGTTTTCTACATTATCTTGCTATTACAATCTGCAACACATCCTCATTCCATTTTCTAAAGTTTCCAAGTTCAGAATGTTTTGGAACCCTTGTTATACATGGTTTAAAGAATTTCTACAATCTGCTTTACCAGTTAGTGATTGTGGGTGCTTATGACATCACTCTTAGAAAACTGTAGTAGGCAGCAGAGTTTTGAGAAATGTGTGAATGTGTATTGTTGTCCATTCTAGAACAAACCCAGGAGAGCATTCAGCGATTTCAACAGCAGGCAGGGCTAAGAGATGTCGGCTACACTCCGCACAAAGGCCTCACTGCAGAAGAAACAAAATACCATCGTGTGGCTGAGTCATTCCATGTAAGGTGTTTGGGGCCTGCTGAGCTTTAGCCAGTTTATTACTCTAGTTGGTAGAGATGGTTAGTTATTACTTTACAGAACCATGTCTGGAGGGAGAGACATCTATTGCTGTGCATCTTTGATACACTGTGATTCATTATTTTTTGTGTTATTGTACTTTTTTGGATGTGTGTTAAAAATGCGTGTGAATGGGGAATGTGCCAAGTTTGTTAATTCAGAACTGGAAAATTCTGGCAAACTGTACTCCATTTTTTTTCCTGGACTATGCCATTACTGTATGGGTGTGGTTTGGCAGTACCCAGAAGTGAATCTTCTGAACCAGAAGTGGCTAATGTACGATAATGGAGCATTTCAAGACATTTCTGGCCTAGATAATTTACTTCTAGAAACCACTTCTCCAGAACTGCATGATCTGTTGGGAAATAGTATTGTGAATTCTTGATTCAGTATCAATGCATTGGCAGTGAAAGTAACACTATAACCTTGTTTCCATGGTATCACAATCTAGCCTTTCTGAGGAAGGGCATTTCAACCTTCTATTACAGGTAGTCCTTGACTTATGACCACAATTGAGCCCCAAATTTATGTTTGCTAAGTGAAACATTTGTTAAGCGAGTTTGCCCCATTTTACGACTTTTCCTGCCACAGTTGTTAAGTGAATCATTGCATTTGTGAAGTGCAACTTAACATGGTTGTTAAATTGACTTTGCTTGTCAGAAGGTCACAAAAGGTGACATGATTCCAGGACACTGCAACCTGGAATCATGAACCATAAATATGAACCCCTTGCCAAGCATCCGAATTTTAATCATGTGACCATTGGGATGCTGCAATAGTCATAAGTATGGAAAACAGTCATAAGTCACTTTTTCCAGTGCTATTGTAACTTTGAATGGTCACTAAATGAAGTAGTGTAAGTCGAGGACTACCTGGTCTTTTTTCTTAGCAGCCCATTGCAGTTGGGCAGAATAGCTAAGTAGCAATAGAGAAATGTGGCTTCAAAATGGTAGGCTCTGAAATATGTCTACTCATTTCCATAAGAACCTATAATCTTGAACTAAGTTTTTAAAAACATACCACCAAATGCTTTCATAAAGTTGCAGTGAAAAAAATGTGAAATCATTTTTTTTATTATTGGTGGGATCTAGGTTAAATTTAGAAAAGTTTCCAGATGTTTGTATGTTGCTTTTCTAACAGAATTTGAAGATGCAAAGTGGAGAGATGGTAAAAGAAGATAAACAGGCCTCTTCTGCCCAGTCCACACCAAGCAACACTCCTCATTCTTCTCCTAAGCGCTCATACAGGTACATTTCATAAAAGGAAAATAAAATCACAAATTGTCTGAATGTCTTGATGACCCAGATTCCTTTGCATATTTTAAGTGTTCATATTAGGAATCCGTTTTAATTCTCCAGAATCAAAGGTTCTCCGGGGTTCTTACAGTTAAGTATTTTATCAAAGTATTTTATCATATAAAGTTCCTCTAGATTTATGTTCTGTTTTAAATTTACTTGGAGTGAGGATATCTGTTGAGAAGAGGTGCTTGGGGAAATCTGGTGCACAAAAATCTGGTTCCCCTGTTTTGATTTCTTTTTTTTTCATTGAAGAAGCTGGTTTAGTCATGGAGCTTATGCTTCGGTCACTGGTCCTGATCGTGGCCCCATGGATTCCAACAGTGGTGACAGTGATAAAGTACCATCTGAAAAATGGAGCATTTTTGGACCTAGAGCTCTTCAGAGATCTGCTACTGAATCAGGTATAGTATTATTTTGAGAAAACATGGTTTTTATATAGAAAGAACAAATTAAATATACTTTACAAAGGTTCAGAATTTAAAAAGTGGCCCTGTAAGGGAGATGGGCAGTTTCTAAATGAGATAGATAAAGTATAAATTAAGATCAGAAATCCAATTTTAGATTAAAAAATTAAGGCTAGAAAGAAGAAAATATATCAAAAGCCTTAAAAATAAAATACGATTTGAAGCAGTTTTGAATTGGAATTGCAGAACTTCTATCCTGTTACAAGGATACAGCTTTTTGCAAATGGTAGCACAGGTCTTGGATAGTGCAGTCATGAAACTTATAATGAGTAGCATCAACTCTGTCTTGAATGTTGAATACTATTTCCCTACTTTCTAGGATTATTATTACTATTTCCCTACTTTCTAGGATCTAGCTTATGGTAACGTTTTCTGTACTAAAATTTGATAAACTTTTGTAAATGGATTAGAGTAGAACTGGAATCCTCAATTATTGAAAAGGAGGGTGTAAATCCCAGGAGGTTATTACTGAGATACCATTGTGGGAGAGCAGCAGTGTCGCTATTTCCCAAATTTCCTGATGCCAAGAGGAGGTAGGGTAGTGCTGATTGATAGGATACATGGCTCTGTTGGAACTGGTTATCTGCAGATGCTGAATTCCTATGTTGGGCTATAGGAACAAGGTATCTTGCTTATATACTACTCACCTTGCTGGGCGGCAAGATCCTTTCTAGTGCTCATCATAGCTTTGGGGATAGAATATCCTTGGCTGCTCGTGTTATGGATCTTTATGTTCTCGAGAGGGTTTAGGAATTCGTGGTCACAATGCAACCTTGTGTTTGTTCCAACTAATCTCAGGTCTGTGACACATTGGCGGCCATATGTGAGATCTTGTTTTTTTGTGCATGAACATCTGATCTCAAATTGAAGAATATGAGAGCTAGTCTTTGCCTTGTCAGATCATACTCTGGTGATTACAATACTAATTTTTCTAAAAACTCCCAGAAAGGTTCTCTTAAAATGACCTGCCCCACGTGTCTGATAGATCTGGATAGATTCCAGGGGCACTCCAGAATGTTCTCAGCAATGTCATAGGCAATTGTTTTGAACATCTGGTTGATCTCTGGAATATGGAGGTGAATATGGAGGGCACTCAATGCAGTGACCATTCATTGAATAGATAAGAGCTTATGCATGAGCTTAAATCATGGTAATAAAGATTATGATATGATAAAGCCATCCACTTTTTACTTCTCTACTCTGATTGTGTTCTTGCAGTTCTATTTAAGGTGCCCTGTGCCTGTTTAGGATGCAGGAAGATTTTTCTGAGCATCAGTTCAAAATTTTGGGGAAACATTTTGCTAATAAAATCATTACACATCATTGGCTCTGGCTTGGACTGCGCATGGGTTAAGTCAGAGGAGGTGATAGGACTCTGAATGATAGGATTATCTCAGGATGAGCTCTGCGATGTGTGTGCTAGATCCATGTCCTTTTTGGTTCTTTTGGACAGCATCGTGGGGAAGTGAGAGTCTAGATACGGAAGATAGCGAATGTCTCCTGGAGGTAGCAGTTATATCCTCCATCTTGAGGAGGTGGTGTTGCTTTCTCCTGAAGCCTTTTCTGGATCTTGCCAGACTGATAACTAGTGAGCCATGGTGGCGCAATGGTTAGAATGCAGGGCTAACTCATTGCTCACTTCAGGAGTTTGATTCTGAGTGGCTCAAGGTTGACTCAACCTTCCATCTTTCCAAGGTCAGTAAAATGAGGACCCAGCTTGTTGGGGGCAATATACTGACTCTGTAAACTGTGTGCACTCTTGTAAATTGTGTGCACTGTGAAGTGGTATTTAAGTCTAAGTGCTATTGCTATTGCTACCTCTTGGTCCCCAGCTTTCCCTTTTTGAGGATGGTTGCAGAGAATAGTGGGGCTCCAAATGGAGGTTGGTTGCCCTGGTGGATGCTGAGATTGTATGAGATCAAGGTGAGAAGGATGGAGCCTGTCCGGAAATATCATAGTGTCATGGCAAGTTATCTTCAAAGAATTGGAAAATTCCTGGTAACTTTGGAACAGCTGTTATCAGACATTGTTAGCAATATTTTCCTTTCCAAATTGGTATCTTTGCTGAAATTCTGGTTATATCTATGGTATATATAGAACTATTGAAGTGTTTATTGTAATCTGTTTCCTATTACTGTACATTGTCTTAGGAGGCTTTACCATTCAGACATATAAGAGTGCTCAGAAGCCATCTCCAATGGAACTGATGCGTATGCAAGCCACCAGGATGTCAGAGGACTCAGCAAATTTCAAGCCTCCCAAGATGGATATTCCACCTATCGAAGAGAAGAGGCAGTCTTCACACTCTCACAATCTTAAACCTCGGGACTTGAATGTGCTTGCTCCCTCTGGCTTTTAGGAGTATTTCTACTTAAGTGGCACAAGTATGTTCTTGTCATCTTGCTATCTGATCTCATCTTTAAGTAGATTCCATTCCACTCATGAATCCCTGATTTAAATAGGTGACTCTATGCCTTCTGGTTCAGAATTATAAATGGGGATGAAATGAGATCTAGGCAGCTTTCTTAATTTATTGCCTTTTTCCTCTCAAATGGCTCTCTGGGTACACTATAAATCAAAGTGATCTACCGCTGAAATTCGGACAACAAATTGTGTGCTGCTTTACGTAGCTAAACTTTAAAAAGTGTAGCTATAAAATAGTTGAAGCTGTTTTGAATATTTGTGCTCGTGCTCCCACTACTAAATTTGATGCTGCTATTCAGGCCAAATTATAAATAGACAATGTATTATTTTTTAATATCTAAATGATTTTTTTTTTAACTTGAAGGGAATCTAGAGAAAAAAAGGATTTTGTTTTGTTTTGTTTTGCTAAAATGTTGTTCTAGAAAAATTATTCTTCAAATGCATAAAAGTTCCATGTTTAAGGAAATTTAAGAATTAAATTCCCCTTCTAGACCTGTGGCATGGAATAAAATATTGTTTGTGGTGCATTTTGTTGTTGTTGAACTCAGATAATTCAGCATGAAGTGGAATGTAGGCAAATTCCTTCATTCCTAAAGTAGTCAGATTCTATTTTTAATAAAGGGATCCCAGAATTGAGATCCCTTGGAGTTTGAAAATTGTAGCCATGGCTTCTGTGAAAAGACTGTGAAACAGAATATCACTGAAACCAGACATTCCTATACATGCTTCCTTGGGAGGCAAAGGAATCCAAAATAAAATTACTTAATAGAACATGAGAAGATTTTTAATTCAGCTGTTCAGTTTGTATTACAATTAATGATTGATTAAATGTCTATTTTTACAGATTTATATTTTAGAATCATTCACTGAAAGATGAAAAATATTTAATGTATGCTTTAAGGCAGATGAGCATATATTATGTTTGATTTCTTAGTCTAATTTTAAATGTGAAGTGAATGGTGTTATTTTACGACAGTGGGATGGAAACTTAGAAACATTCCATTACAATAAAACCTTTTTTTCTTGAACACCAAATTTGTGATTTTCACGAACCCTTTTTATGTCCTAAATTGGTCCTATATCTTATTAAATCCAAATTCCTATAAATGTAGGTGCTGCTATATCTAAGTGACTTAATAATCCATTTTTCTTCACAACAGCTGCAACTTGGACCTGTATTGCTTTGATAGTGCTGTGTCAGCTCATCACTGCTTGTACCCGGAAGACAGTGATCTTGCTTCTTGGTTAATGTTTAATTTATTTGGTAGTGTTTTGTGCTCATGTGTCTATGCCTAATACTTTTGCAGAATAAACAAACATGAATTAATCTGGAGGCATGGCTATATTTTTGCACAGTGTACAAGTACTCCTTGTTTAATGACTTCTTCAGTGACTGTTCAAAGTTGTGATGGCACTGAATGAATCTACTTATGACTGGTCCTCAAGATTCTGGCCATCCTAGCACCCATACAAACCTGTGATTTGGGCACTTGGCAGCCGGTTGACATGACGGTTGCAGTGTTCTGTGGTCTTAGAATCACCATTTGTGATATTCCCTGCCAGCTTCCCACAAGAAAAGTCAATGGGGAAGCCACTAGTCGTTCCAATAAGTCGCTCCCATCCTCTCCCATCCAGAGCAGCCATCCCCAGCCCTGCCACATTCACAGGCCACTTGCACACCCTCCCTTGCTTGGCAACAGCCTCTTTATCTGCCTACTGGCTGCTTACAACTGCCTGAAACTTGCTTAATGACCTCGCTTAATGATGGCACGGGGAGTTCTGGGATTGCTGTCGTTAAGCAATGCAGTGACATTACACTTTATGATAACATTGATTAGCAACAGAAATTCTGGTCCCAAGTACTATCATTAACTGGGAATTAACTGTAATAGTAAGCTCCCAGCTCTGCATGTTTTATCTGTTACGAAGATTTATCTGGGTGCATGACCTATTATCGGTGGATCGACATCTGTATAAATATAGTCTTGTATATCTATCTAATCTCCTATAACCTGTTATCTTTTTTAAAAAAAGACCAAGCTCATTCCACTTTTCAGTTAATAAAATTTATTATAAAAGTTGTATAAAACACAAAAAGAAATAAAACAAGACAAACTGTTATTAACAAATTTAGAATAAACTTGACAAGTCTTGACTTATCCAGTGACTGAGAATACAGTGCAACTTACTGCAATCAAAGAAAAAAGACTTAAATTTTTTTTAAAGAACTTATTACACTTAGGAAGAGGTCCATCTGTCAGCATCCAACAGTCCTCCAAGAATTAGATGTCCATAGCAGTGGAAAGCAATTCTTGGAGTAGTTCAATCTTTTCTTTGATGGGGGAGGGAAGTGGCCCTTCCAGAATTTGGCAGAGCTTTTTCTGGATGCTGTGAATGCTGCGCTTTATATCGCGTTTTTCAATATAATCATTTGACTGTAGTTTGGGTTTAGCAGCTTTGATAATTAAATTAATACGTTCATACACTGAGTTTCTTAAGTGCCCTGTAAAAAAGGGTAGAAGCAATTGTTGAAAGTTAGTTTGTTTTACCATCAGATTGATAGTTTAGGTTGTAATTACCCATGTAGTTGTAATAGGAAAATCTCCATTTTATCCCATGTTAATTGAAATTAATGTGTGAAAAAAATAAAGTTTAAAAAATGCTAAAATACAGCAATTCTGAGGATTGCATCTCCTCAGAGATAGTCTTTCAGCTATAATTGTGTAAATTAAACAAAAATATTTTTTCGTAAGTAATTGATCCTGTTTTGTATTAACAAGTGATGGCAAATCTGTAAGGTTGCACACAAAATAAAAATAGTGTTATACTGAAACACTAAACAATTCTACTTGAAACACTGAATACATAGATGCAATGAGAACTCAAAATTATTCCTTGCTCAGCCAATGGAATACCGTATTTTTCAGAGTATGACACACTTCCCCCCCCCAAAAAAGTGGGTGGAAATGTCTATGTGTCTTATACTCTGAATATTGGGGGGGGGGGGAGGGGGGTTGGTGCAGCGCCTATCAGGTGTTCTAGAATGGGTCGTGGTGGCGAACTGATAGCGGTGAATGGGCCGCAGCAAATGGGCTGTGGTGAACGGGCCGTGGCAGTGGCAAATGGGCGGTGGCGAACAGGCGGCGGCGAATGTGCAGCGGTGCTGAGTGGGCAGCAGCGAACAGGCTGTGCTGAATGGGCAATGGCGAACAGGACAGATAAATACTGGATGGATGCTACGAGGCAGATTTTTTTCCCCCTTGTTTTCCTCCCCAAAAGCTAGGTGCATCTTAAAATCTGGAGTGTTTTATAGTCCGAAAAATATGGTAATTTATTTTTTTAAAACATTGTTTTAAAATTCCAATAATAAAAAGCAACAGTTGCCCTTGGAGTCAGTGTCTGCCTAATCAGCAGTCAAATACCAGCAGTAAATTCATTTAATATAAATAACGTAACTGTAAAAGAATTACAGGATTGAGGCTTCTTCCAAAAAAGCACATGCTTGTATAATACACAATCCTTATATTTAGTGTTTCTGCAAAAGTTAACAGCATTTGCCTTTGGCAGACTCCACCTCAATTGCAAAGAAAATTATGCAATGGATTGTTTACTTTTGCAGTTGGCTTACTGCCTTAAAGAAAAATATTGAACAAATGGATACCTTTGAACTTTCCAAAAGCAAATACTTTTAAAACGGAAATAAACCTACCAAGCAAGTCATTTTTGCCCTGAATAGTTTTTAATCTCAAACATTTTGACCTAATTTTGACCTCATTTCTCCAATTGCGGTCAGATCACTCCCTGATGAGTGTCCAGGTGTCTGGCACTACCCCACTACACAAGGAGGCTGCACCTATTAGATAGGCCGTCATTTGACCAAATAATGTAGACAGCTTTCATCCAGTCTTCAACCATCCCTTTTTGGTAAGGTTGTGGAGAAAGTGATGACACAGCTGTTTCAAAGGACTTGGATGAAGAGGATTATCTGGACTCTTAGTCAGGATTCAGGCGTAAGATGGCACTGATCACACTCTTGGATGACCTGGTGGAAATGGGATGTGGTTAGCAGACCCATCCGTGCTTTTCTTGACTTCTCAACTGCCTTTGATACCATCAGTCTTGGTATCCTGGACCAGCTTCAGGAGTTGGGTGTGGGCGGCACCGTATTGTTCCTCCTGGGCCAGTTCCAGTTGGCGTTAATTGGGTGAAGTCCAGCCTACAGTCCCTATCCTGTGGGATGCAGGTCAATCATCTCACCTCTCTTATTTAACTTCTGCATGAGGCTGTGGGGTAAAGTGATCTGACCATTTGGTAATGGTCTGCATGAGGCTGCTAGGTAAAGTAATCTGACCATTTTAGATATCAATATACTGATGACACCCAACTTTATATTTCCACCCTAGGCTGCTGGAGTGATGCAATGGACATCCTGTCTCAGTGCCTGGAGGGTATAGGGGACACAATGGGTTTTGGCTCAATCCAAGCAGGAATGAGTATCTTTGGGTATTTGGGTCTTCCAGTGTCAAAGTTTTTCTCCCTTTGGTCCTGGATGGGGTGCCACTGCTTTGGAGGGACTTGGTGTGCAGTCTGGTGTTCTCTTGCACTAATGGCCCTGATGGAAGAGCAAGTGGCAACTGTGGCTAAGAGGGCCTTTGCACACATTTGGTTTATACACCAGTTGCCCATTCCTGGACCTGAAGGTTCTGTTCATTGTCACTCATGATGCACTCATGCCCTCGTGATCTGCCACCTAGATTGCTGCAGTGCACCCTACATGGAGCTGCCTTTGAAGAGCATTCAGAAGCTTCAACTTGTGCAGCATGCAATTGTACAGTTAGTAAATGGTATCAGGTACTCGACACATCATTGGAAAAGATTCCCTGATGTTGGGAAAGATTGAAGGAAAAAGGAGAAGGGAACAGCGGAGGCTGAGATGGTTAGATAGTGTCATCAACGCAATGAACATAAGTAAACATCAGGAGACAGTGGAGGACGAGGGGCCTGGTATGCTATGGTCCATGGGGTCACAAGGATTTGGGCAACAAAACAACGCAACATGTGCAAGATCACTATTTTGTGAACTCCAGTGGTTCACAGGTTACCCAAGGGACCATCTTCTTCCAGTGTTTCTACCTGTCCAATACAGTCTGGATGGGCATGCTCTGAGTCCCATCAGTCAAGGAATGTCTGTTGGTGGGTCTACAAGGTGTACCTTTCTGCTATACCACTTGCCCTCTGAAACATTCTCTCTTCATGTATTATGATGGCCTCGAATCTGTTGGCCTTTGACGAACTGGTTATGTGCCCTGGCCCAGGGCCCTGAATGTGTGAAGGAGCCTGTTTCCTGGTTATATGTGTTTATTATACTTTTCTTGACATCTATTTATTTTTTGCATTGAGTATTTAATTGGTTTAAATTAATTTTTGGATTATTCACCATCCAGGGTCATTTGTTTGAGATGGACTACCATGTAGGAAGGTAGGTAGGTAGGTAGAGATAATAGATAGATAGATAGATAGATAGATAGACAGACAGACAGACAGACAGACAGACAGACAGACAGACAGACAGACAGACGAGAGAGAGAAAGAGAGAGATAGGGATAGAGATAGATAGTGATAGATAGATTAGATTACTCCAACCAATGGTAGCAGATAAAAAAGATGTGCCTGACATTATTGACTCATGCCTCTCCCAAACTCCATGGTTTGGAAGAATTATGAACAAACAGAAATAAGCAAATTGCAAAGCACTGAAACTCAAAAATGCATGAAAGGAGACACTTTATTTTTATCTAAAGCTAGGGACAACATTTTGAGTATGGCGCATTTTCTTCCAAGCTTGTAATACCTGAAATAATCATTTCATCTTATAGTATTTTAAGTATCTCTGCTAATTCATGCAAGATGTCCTAATAAGTTTAGCTAACAATATTGACTATTATAATCAGATAGTTATAAAGTTATAAAGATAAGTTTATGAGCCATAAGCAAGATACTTACCTAGAATTATTGTACGGTAACTCAGCAATAATAAATTCATTTGATGAAGTATCTCATCCCATCTCTGCCACAATTTTTCCCTGTCCTGTGAACAGAAGGATTTTTATTCAGGATTTCACAAGTGCTGCATACTGATATTTTAAAAGGGCTTTGAAATACTAAATTTCAAAGAACTTTCAATAACAACAGATTAAAACGATGCATAAACATTGTAGGGATGCCCATCACATTTTGTGTTTCAGTTCTATCAATATAAATGAAGGAAGCAAGCGCTAAATTACCTGATATGTTAGCAGCAAGGAAACGTGGTTCAGAAAATACAAT